TGAGAACAGGCCTCATGCACCAGAAAGGCCAGCTTTAGACTTGTGGGGACTCAGCTCCTGTCTCCATGACAGTACACCATCCAGAACTAGTGCACTATTCAAGAGGAAGGGAAAGCCCAGCATTAGGTTTCATCTTTCTGCCCTTCATTTCTTTTCCAGTGTAGCCATCAGTCTTTTTTTTTTTTTTTTTGGGGGGGGGGGGGGGGGGGGTTGCTTTTCTTTCACCTTTCCTTCCTCGGCACCGTCTTTAACTCTCGGGCATCTGCCAATGCCCCACTGTTATGTTGGTGTTGACAAAGCCTGTCGTAGCCCCAGTCTGTAACTAAACACTTCATCCCATTCCAGGCCAGGGGCTCTGAACCATAGGAGGCTGCTGGAGCCCCAGCCAGAGACGCTGCTGCTCACGTCCAGCTGAGGGCTGCAAGTCTCCCATGCGAGGGGGAGGGGAGCTAAAAGGGTTGCACTGAAGCACAAGCTTCAGGGGAAGCTCCAAGGAGACACTGCACTGGATTTGGTGACCCACTGAATACGGCACCTTGTTGCTGTGGACTTGTAACAGCCAATTGCAAAGAGAGAAGCCAGAGGCCAAGAAGGCCCCTTGTAATAGCAGACGCAACTGGTGGCAACCCTGATGACAGTGACGGAGCAGGCATCAGAGGTAGGTATGGTGATGCCTGTGTCACAGAGGGAAAGTCTTGAGGCCCAGAAGTTAAGATGACTGATCTTCTGACCAAGGTCCAGAGTAAGTCAATGTCAGAGATGGACTTAGAACCCAGAAATCCCTCGACCTCCGCTCAGTGCCCACTGTGGTCCACTGGATAAGGCGGTCAGTCCACTGGGATGTCAGTGACGCTACCAGCAATCTTCCCCCTGCCAGGATCACCCCCCGTCTGAAGCAGCCAGCTCAGAAATTGTTACTGCTGCAATGAAGTTGCCTGTGACCAGGAAGGGGGAAGGGTGTGTGGAGGATGAACTGGCGTTTCCAGGCCAAACCCCTGGTCTGGTTTCTGTGTCTCCTGCTTACCACATCTCAGAAACTAGAAGGGGCGATGGGAGTGGGTGAGAGACGCCACACATGGGGTCACCTCCTCTTCAGGGACTTCTCCATCTGGAGTTCATGCTGCTAGCTCTGCCCTAGTGCTGCCCCCAAGAGCATGGGAAGGACCCGGAGACCCCCTGCTCTGACATAGAGCAGGTGTATATAAGGGGCACAGTCATTTTGTGGGGAGGGAGCAGCAATTTCTTTGTCTGATGCCTGATGTACATAGCCAGTAGCTAAACTCCTCTAGACAAATAGCTCTTCCCGTTCTGTGGGTGTCAAGCTTTTCATGAGCTCTCTCTGTTTCACATGCGAGTTATTTCAGAGAATAGCAATGGCTCCTTGCCGGAACCCACCATACTTCTCAACTCCAAGCTGGGCACAGCTGGAGGAGAAATAGCAATCACTGAATAGAACAAGCCACCAACACACACAGAGGGACTGAACCCAGAGAGGAGTGCATCAGCCCTGAAGTGGAAGGAAGGAATGGATTGTAACTAGTAAGTAGTAAGGCAGGAATACCAGGCGTTGGAAAACTCTCCCTCGCCCTCCCTCAGGCAAATGAAGCGTGCGAGATGTGAAGTATGGGAAAGCAGGCCGGCTTTTGAACTCATCCCGTGTAGGATGGCATGCCTTAGGAACATAGCATTGTGGTATGGATGATGAATATACTATGTCTTACTAGTCTTATCTACACGTCCATGTATCTGCTCAGTAAATCTCACGTTATGGGGGAGGGGGGTGGGGGATTTGTAGTGGGCTCTTGGGACTGGTTTGGAAATGATCTCGGGTTGGCAGGAGGAAGCACACCTCCATCTACAACCCTTGTGCTGCAGTCAGCAAGGAATGGGGCTTTCAGTGAAGGGGGTGGGGGCAGGGGCTGGGAGAGGCTCTTGGTTTGGGTCACTGAACCTGAGATTTTAACAATACAATTTGCTTAACTGAAATGAATTAAAAAAAGTTTTAAAAGAAAAAAAAACAAACGAGATGGATCGAAGTTGCCATGTCACCAGTTTCACTTTCGTGAAAGATTTTGGAGCCAAATTTTTGTTGCTAAAAATGGTCATTGACAAAAAAAAATCTTTATCAGCAAAATGTTTAAATTATGTAATAAAAAAAACCCGATGCAAGTGGGCCTCAGTGTTTCACTGCTGAACGTGCAGCCAGGGAAGCTTCCAGGCTCCTTGCTGGGGCACCCACGCAGCCACTGCTTACGATGACAGAGGGAAGACTTTTCACAAATTTTATAAGCTGCACTTGCCAGCTCTTTAGGTCACCTGGTGCCAGCTCCTCCTCCCACAGGTATCAGAGTTCACCTGGAGCAAATCAGGGCCTGGAGGAAGCTGTGAACAGCAGGAAACAAGGTGGGAGGGCTGCCCAGCAGGCATCTGCAATTACCCCAGGATAAATTAAAGGTTAAGAAGGGCCACTTAACCCTGCTTCATTCAGAGGTAAATCTGCCCTAGTGTAGTGTTCACTTACCATGCTGTAACTTAGGGCACGTGAGCAGTTATCACACGACCTGATGCATGGTAAGCCTTGTCCTGGTAACTCTAAATTTCTTGCTTATCTATAGCCCTAAGCATCCATGCTGGTAGCTGCTGCTATGTAAAGAAAAGGAGATGTAGGAGCTGGCCCCATCCAGAGATGCCAGCAAAGCCAGTAAGCTCTAACCAGTGCTAACCATGACTTCTCCCCTTGGGAGGAATGGGGAGCTGTATGAGAGTTGTGTACAACTAAGAGAAAAGTTCCCATAAAACTTACTTCCTAAAAAGCATGGTCTGAACTATGGAACTATGAGAATCCTGGCCTAGAAGTTGGACAACAGGGCAGAGTAATGAGACTCCTGCCTTCTAGTCCTCTGGGAAAGTCACTTAATTGCCCCATGATTCAGCTTCCTCACCTGAAAAATAAAGGTCATGGTAATTACTGATCACTGTACAGTTCTTTGAGACAACCCAGAAATTACCAGCTTCACACAGCTGAGCTCTTAAGTTACTGCATTTCAATACAGCCCTAAAAGGGAGTTAGTAGTAGAAGAGGTAGATCATCACATATATCTTGCAGCTGGAGAGAGCTGAGTCAACATCTCTTCTGCTTTAGCCCTTATGCCATGCTGCCTCCTGTGTTACCAAATAGTCAATTCCATTCCTTTCCTGAAGGATGTCTTTCCTCTGCACACAGAGAAAACCATTTCCAAAAGGAGAAAGGGGGAAAAACAAGCAAACAGCAACAGCCAGCCTGAGGATTCACCATTTATTTAATTTTCTTGTAAAAAATCATAACCCTAAGGCCTTTCTCCTATGTTGCAGAGGAAGAAACTGCAACGCAAACCAGAGGCCAGAGTGTGGCTCACTTAAATAAAAACATGACACAAACAGTTATTTAACAGATAATCATCAAGCACCACTAGGACTGTGCCACTTTATCAGAGACCTGGAGGGATGAGCGTGTCTCCAGAAAGAAGCAGCTGCCTTTTCTGGACCAGGATGGAGGTTACTGCTTCTGCTGGGACACAGGGCAGGAGACAAGTATCCAACAGATCTAGATCCTTGCAGGCAGGGGACCAGGGACCTTCTTCACTGAGGTGAAGTAGCAAAATGGCATGGGACCTACCCCCAGGATTTGGGAGAGGGTGGAGATCTGAGCCTTGGGTTCCTCCAAACACAGGCGAAAAGGGGAGATGGAAGGAACTGGTTAGAGTCACATCGGCTGCTCTACATGAAACATCCAGTTTTGCATTTCTGGGGAAGGGAGCAAACAGCACCAAACTTCCTCCAGCCTGGAAGTGGAGACATGCCTGGTTACACTTAAGATGGTTTTTGTTCAATGGAGCAAATCAAAATCCTCATGTTTGGATGAGCTGGACCCTCAGGTACCAGCTTTCTTGGCCAAGGTGACTAGTACAAATCCTCTTTTCTTGCTAAAAGTGCCACAGGAGCATCAGTGCCTGCTTTCCAAGGTCTCATCTGAGATACTGGCAGCAAACAGCATAGTACTCACCTGACTCAACTCAGAGCAACAAGGGCCAAGTCAGCCTGTGTAAAGTTTGCACCTGCAACAGGGGCATATGGAAAACCTGGGGCTCTGACCCTGGAGTCACCAAATCCAGGTAAGGTCCCTGAAACCACTCTTGAGCAAAAGGCCCAGATGAGAAGGGGGTGGAGAAGATGAAACATCCTCTTGGAGAGAAAGATGTAGTGGCAGGAAGGACTTTTCACACAATGTCCTTTCACAATCCTCTCTGCAGCAAGCCAAGAGGTCACAGATGCACCTCCAGCTCCTTCTGGTGCAGTCGTTTGAACTCAAAGATGAAACATTTCCTTCTTTTCCTATGCCTAGGGAGCCCCCACCTTGGCTAGACAGAGGGAAGGCTTGTAATGAAGAGCTCACAATGGCACTTCCCTGTGGCCCAGACAAGCCTAACGCACAAAAGCTGTCAAGGCAGAGAGATTGTGAGGATAACGCTACAATCAGCAATCGCAGCTTCCATGGTTCAGAGCCCAAACCCACCCTTTGTTCTGCTGCTCATCACTTAGTTCAGAAAAGAGGGCTGATGAGAAACATGTTGAGGGGAGCAAATGAAGGGAAACCAGCACTGCATTGCACTGTGCAAGATGAGGAGCAAAGTAGTGCCATTCAAGGATGGCAGCAAGTCCTGGATGTGCCCGAGAGTTGAGAAAAATCTCTTCAGGATAAGGAAAATAGAGACAAGAGGAGTTCAGATTTGGCTGGTGGCCACAAAGCCTGATAAATACCCAGATGGCAACAGTGTGCCCACCTCCTCCTGGCTGTGCCTACAGGGATGAGATCCCAGTACACTTAACTCTTCCTGGTCAGCAGCTTCTTCAAGCAAGTGGGTATCTCCTTCCTCAGGCACTCCCAGGATAGACATGTGGAGCATCACATTCTTGTTGGAGGACA